TTCATTCACACTTAGGCCTATATTATATTATTTTTTATTTTATTTTATTTATTTTATTATTATTGATTTTAATCAAATGCTTTAAACTTTTTTTTTTTTTTTAGAAAATCAATGGGGAAAATTCTTGCAGAATTTTGCTGGTAAACTGGACAGTGCAATGAAATTATATCTCTTGTTTATGTTCATTTAATTTAAAGTTTTTGTAATATTGTGTGTGTCTGTTATTTTTAAATATGCCTATATCGTTCAGATTTTTATTTCAGTTCATTTTTATGAATTTTAGTACATCAATTAAAACTAAATGAGAATGATAAATGTTGCTTTGGCAGCTAGCTAAAATAAAGTAAGTTTAAGTTTTATTTAAGTGAAACCCAATTTGACGTATCAAAATCTGTATTAAAAATGTTTTATCAAGACTTGAATGCGGGAAAAAATGCCCATGTTCAATGCTAACCTGTATTTATTTACTGCATGAGGACCCAGCCCTTAGCGATTGACATTTGAAAGTAAACTAACCAAAAGGACATCAGATCCATTATCTTTTTGCTTTTTTTATTTATTTATTTATTTTTTGCTCATTTGTTTACCAGAAAGCATTGCTATATGGATTTGGAGACTACATGACATTTAATGTTTCAAAGAAAGAGCACAAGACAGATTTCTACTTAACACATGCAGTAAATCCGCTAAATCTCTTGACATTAAATAAGCGAAGTTTGTAAATAAGGACACAAGCTGGCATTGAAATGAGCGCTCTGCATGAAAGGGAACCAGCTCTCGGTGGTAAACACAAGCGCTGGCTGTTTTCGCCGTACATCGTCTTCAGCCTTCATATGCAGCTGTGACAAATTTCCCAGAAGCCCAGATGGGTCATCTCATCTCACAGCAACATTAGCAGTTTAACGGAGGCCGTTTAAATTATTCACGTCCTTCTTGAGAACATGTTGAAATTCGAGGGCTATATTTGCATAGGACATTCAAAAAACATTTGATTTGGTCAGCATGCAGGAACCAGTGGAGACCAAAGAGGATTGAAGTATTCTGCAGTGCTGATGACAAATATGCCGAATGACAGCTGCATGGAGCAAGACGGCAATCGGCACAGATTTGAGTGCTATAATGATATTGTAATCAAGACTCGAGTCGCCTTGCATACTGCTCTTTTAATTTGGGGAAAGTTCAATATTGCCAGGTTCATGTGTAAAGCCACTAAACCTGTAGAAACAGAAAACATGTCAAAGACAACAACACAAATGTTCAGTCTGTTTTTGGCCATATAGTGAGAGTCAGTGGGGCCAAAAACAGAACTTTTTCAAAACATCTTCTTTTGTGCTCCACAGAATACAGAAAGTCTTAGCTTTGGAATGATGTGCAGGTAATAATGAATGTCAGAATTTTCATTTTTGGGTGAACTATTCATTTAATAGACTTAATTGTATTAAGGCACTTTTAAAAGCAACTTGTCTCAGAGCACATTTCAAGACGTCAAAACATAACATCTGATGATCTGGAAAATATTTAAGTGAGCTAGTCAACTGAATATTTGAGTAGAATGTCTATTTCTAGGTAGAAATTAAATGATAAAAATGTATTGAACTAATTAAATATGCTGCAGTACACACACAAGGGATTGTGGGATATCAAAGGCAGTGAAGGATATATGACATCCTTGAATATGAGCATGGATTCAAGGGTAAATTAAGTAAATATAGTTTTATACAACAGTTCTTTCATGTCCTCGAATCTGATTGGCTGAGAGGAGTGCGATATTCGGGTGATAACAGCACTCCAACCATTTCACCGTTTGTATCACTCCGCTTGCAGTATTTCTCACAGTGAGAAACATGCCTCAATGTTTTTGGAGATGTGAACTCCAGGGCGTCAACGCCGTTCAGACAGACAGACAGACAGACAGAAATAAATGACAGACAGACAGACAGAAATAAATGACAGACATACAGACAGACAGACAGACAGACAGAGATAAATGACTGACAGACAGACAGATAGATAGACAGACAGATAGATAGATAGATAGATAGATAGAGATAAATGATAGACAGACAGATAAATAAAGATAAATGACAGACAGACAGACAGACAGACAGATACATACATGAGAGACAGACAGATAGATAGATAAACACAGACAGACAGACAGACAGATAGATAGACAGACAGACAGAGATAAATGACAGACAGACAGACAGATAGATAAACATAGATAAATGACAGACAGACAGACAGACAGACAGATACATGACAGAGAGACAGACAGATAGATAGATAAACACAGACAGACAGAGAGATAGATAGATAGATAGAGATAAATGATAGACAGACAGACAAACATAGATAAATGACAGACAGACAGACATAGATAAATGACAGACAGACAGATAGATAAACATAGATAAATGACAGACAGACAGACAGATACATGACAGAGAGACAGACAGATAGATAAACACACAGACAGACAGACAGATAGATAGATAGATAGATAGATAGATAGAGATAAATGATAGACAGACAGACAAACATAGATAAATGACAGACAGACAGACATAGATAAATGACAGACAGACAGATAGATAAACATAGATAAATGACAGACAGACAGACAGACAGACAGATAGACAGACAGACAGACAGACAGAGATAAATAAATGACAGACAGACAGACAGACAGATAGATAAACAGATAAATGACAGACAGACAGACAGACAGATACATGACAGAGAGACAGACAGATAGATAGATAAACACAGACAGACAGAGAGATAGATAGATAGATAGATAGATAGATAGACATAGATAAATGACAGACAGATAAACAGATAAATAAAAGACAGACAGACAAACATAGATAAATGACAGACAGACAGACAAACAAACATAAATGACAGACAGACAGACAGACAGATAGATAAACATAGATAAATGACAGACAGACAGACAGACAGATAGACAGATAGATAGATAGATAAACTAATTAAAGAGGTAGTTCACCCAAAATGAAAATTCCATCATCATTTACTCACCCTCAAGTTGTTCCAAACCTGTATGAGTTTCTTTCTTCTAAAGAAGATATTTTGAAGAATGTGGTAAACAGCATGGTCCCCATTGACTTCCGTAATATTTGTTTCCATACTTTGGAAGTCAATGGGGACCAACAACTGTTTGGTTACCAGCATTCTTCAAAATATCTTCTTTTGAGTTCAACAGAAGAAAGAAACTCGTACAGGTCTGGAACAAGCCAGGGACCAGGTGTTTCACGTCACACGCTCAAAGCACACCTTTCCTTCTCATCCACTGCAACAAAATAAGCTCTTAAGAAGCTGTTCCTCCATGAACCGCCTGCTTACAATGCTTCCCGCAGCTGAGGGCTACAGAATGACTCTGTCAAGGTGAAAGAATGAGTTTCCACACAATGATTGGAGTGTGTGTGTGTGTGTGTGTGTGTATGTGTGTGTGTGGGGCTAAGGAACTGTTTCTCCCTCTTGTGAGCAGGAACAGCTGAAGTAGAACAATCTTCAAAGAGGAAGTGCTGAGAGGTAGTTGTAACTGTTATCAGTGGTGCTTCCTCTCTCTCTCTCTGTCTGTCTCTCCATCCTAAGACGATGATACTCAGATGGGTCTTATCTGCATCACATGGTCTAATTGAGTTAACTAGACAGAAATCAAGCATTCTCTGCATTCACAACAGCATGCCGGTGGAATGCTGATGACTTTTCCCCACTCTTTTCTTATTGACTTATTTATTTGAGTTTTTAAAGGCTTTAATATTTCCCCTTTAAGATTCTGCGGATGTTTCCAGAATGTTAAATTCTGGGAGACGTCTGTGAGGGTCACAGTGAGGGCAGCTTTACTCTCCTGTAACAAGAGATGAAAAATAAGCCACTGTGCAAGGGAAAGGTGTTTATGAAGTTTTAGGCTGCACTGCAAAGCAGAAGAGTGGCACATGTGGAGCAAGCCCGATCGAAGTGTCATTTGAACAAGAACACGGTGTGAGGCTGTACGAACACGGCTAATCTGATCTCTCTGGCCAGCTTCAAATTACAAGACGATGACTTCGCTGACAGCTGCTGGATGTACAGCAGGAGAATGACCTCATGTTTGAGGTTTTACTGAAGACAAAGCTCAGAAAGAAGATTTCTGATAAAGTCTACAAGAGTTTGAATTCTCCATCATTTAATTTTGATCAAATTAACAGGATACTACTGTAAATGCTCACACATTATTTAATGCATTTGTTTAGTGCAGGAAATTTTTTTATTTTGAATGTTTTTTAAATGCTTGCTTTAAAAATGCTTTTAGGATTAACAATTTCTGACACTGTTCAACCCTGTTACGCTCTGACATTTTCCCCTCAAATTGTTATATATTAATGTGTGATTTACATTTTACGAAGCACTCCAAAACTGTAACTGCAATACTGTAAGTTATCTATCAAAATAAGTATATAATTTACAAATTTACAGTGACAGAGTTGCACTTAAAGGTTAGTAACAATAAATGAATAAACAACTACAATTTGTAAGAATTCTTTATTTGCATTTCTGTTCAACCCTGTTATGCTGTGACATTTTCTCCTTAAAAAAAAGAATTGAAATGTGATGGAATATTATTGTATATTAATTGTGTTTTACATTTTACAAAGCACAACAAAACCGAGTGATACTGCAGTTTTCTAGCCAACAAGTATATAATTTATATAATTTTCTTGACAGGGCTGAACTAAAGTAGCATTTAAAGGTTAGTAACAATAATAATATTTAAAAAAAAAAAATACAATTTGTGAGAAAATTCTTAATTTGTCTTTCTTTTCAATCATGTTATACTCTGACATTTTCTCCTTAAAAATAAGGAAATGTTATGGAATATTATTCTATATAAATTGTGTGATTTACATTTTACAAAACAGAGAAATACTGCAATTACCAATCAAATTATCAGTATATAATTCCCAAATTTACCGTGATGGGGTTAAAGTCAAGTTCTCAAAGGTTGGTAACAATAAATAAAAATAATTTTTAGGTACATGCATCATCCGTAATTGTCTTTTATTAGTATTTTTAATCTTTTTACAGATCTGTGACTTATGTGCTGGTTGGAATGACAATAAAGAGGCTGAAAAATGATTCAAATGTCACACGTGTCAATTTTTTGGCAACTTTTTTTTTTAATGAAGTGTACAGGTCAAAATTATTTTTAATAAAAAACACCAAATAATTGAAGTTTATGCCTACAATAATACAGAAAGTAAATGTCACCACATAAACACACTACAAATATACCTCCGGATCTTTGTGCTTATTTTGAGAAGGATGTGAAAAAAAAATCTTGCCCTTAGGACATAAAAATAGGGCAGAAAAGAACAGTCCATTTTTATGCATTTTTCTCTCGTTCTGATCCGACTGTTCTGCCGGAGGACCTCTGCAGCTGGAAGCTCTTCTAGTTGGGTTTGGTCAGGAGCTGAGTGGAGAACTCATACAGATCTTTATTGATCTTCTTCAGGGTCTTCACCTCCTCCTCCAGTTCAGACACTCGAACTTTAGTGTTCTCCCCATCACCAAACACACTCTGACAGAGAACAGAGCCACACTTATCATCACATCGTTCCAACACTTTTAACCTATGAATCTTCATGACTTTTACATGACCTTTCCAGTCGTTCACAATTACACATACGTATTCTTATAGATTATTTTCTAGTAATTATTGGGCCAGATATTCACTTGTATGTGAGGCACAAACTTCAGAATTAATAGATTTAAACAAACATATTGTTGTACAAATGTCTCCAATAATACTCTCAATCGACAAAAATGAGAACACTACAGACATTTCCATGATTGTTCCATGACCTTTGTGACAGGAATGGCTTATCTTATGTTATATATTATATTTAGTGCTGTCAAACAATTAATCGCGATTAATCGCATCCAAAATAAAAGTTTTTGTTTACATAATATATGTGTGTGTGCTGTGTATATTTATTATGTATATATAAATACACACACATGCATGTATATATTTAAGAAAAACATGTTACATTTTTATATTAAATGCATGAAAATATTTTCAAAATATATGCTGTAGGTGTGTGTATTCATATATACAATAAATTTACACAATAAACACACATATGTAAACAAAAACTTTTATTTTGGATGCGATTAATCGCGATTAATCATGATTTGACAGCACTAATTATATTATATTATATTATATTATTTTTGTGATGGAGCAACTACAGCTCATTATTATATTAGTACAGCAGTTTGTCTCATATGCTTAGGTTGTAAAAGCATGACTATAAAATCAATTTGTGTTTGTTTTAAAGAACTTGGTAAAGAGTATATTATTGTCTGTGGTTATTGACAAAATGTCCCAGATGTCGATTGCGCTTAACTTGTACTGAACCCGGAACATTCCTTTAATCTAAAAGAGCTAAATCTCAAGCATATATAAACTAGAAGATGAGCTGTGTAAATGAGGAGGTGAGGTTATTTCATATAGAAAAAAAAAACCCTGCACCTGCGTTTAAGAATTCAAGTTTCATAGATTTTCGCTGAGGTCATCAAATCCCGTTTTAGAACATCCTTAATCTAGCGGAGAAAATATTGACATTCCCTTTGTGCTCGATTCCCCCCATGCAGGCACATTTCCCCCAGATTAAGTCGGGAGGGAGGGTAAAAAAAAAAAATTATATATTTATATACATATATCTCCTGAATAAACACAGCGGGCCCTGAGCTCGCCGGCAGGATCCAACTCCCTTTTGAGTGAGTGAAACTAATCCACTTAATGGTCCTGCCAGAGCCGGACTCACTTTAAAAGCGTCAGGAGATCCATGAGGAAGAGGGAACAACCTCTATGGTGACCTGAACGCGTTCGGAGGCGGATAATGGCAACAAACCCCAAAACACCCGTCGGTCCCTCCAGATGGACGGGATTGCGGGGACCATCTGGCCTCACTGTACTTTGACATTTTAAAGAGGCTAAAATAATGTATTTGGACAGAGTTATGAGGTACGCAGCTTGAGCTTTGCCTGTATTTAATTCCCTGAACAGCTGATGTTCAATAGGCCGGAAGTATACAGACACCCCCTCTTAATTAAGGAGGCTCATAAAATCAAGAATACAAGAATTTGGTCTCACATTTTCAGTAGAATGGGGTACTGAAGGTCCTCTTCTACTCTAAATGCTTGAGCTGAGAGAAAATAAACTCTTAGGCTTTATGTGTTAATCAGTTCAGCTTCAAGCCCAGTCTGATGGCTCTGACTCTGACAGATGTGTGCAAGTGGCTCATTTCCTGCAGGAGGAAGCGAGTGAGATGCTCTATATGAAAGATTGTAGTATTGTATCGATCGCCTCTGTAAATCACAGCGTGCTGCGGTAAATATTTTGTATAGCTGACTTGTCCCAGGAAACCCTTTCCTAACACTCTGCTGTCTGTTCTCACATTATCAATTAATTTAAGTATTTATTCATTCATTCCTCAGTGAATGTAAGCCTATGTAATATTTGCTCATTTTACAGTCTACCAGTCGAATCGGAAGGTAGATCACGTCAAAAATTAAGATGTCATATGATGCTGCTAAAAAGAACATTATTTTGTGTATTTGGTGTAATGAAATGTGTTTATGCGGTTTAAAGTAAAAAAAAACACATTATTTTCCACATACTCTACATTATTGTTTCTCCTCTATGCCCCGCCTTTTTGAAACACGTCGATTTTTACAAAGCTCATCGGTCTGAAAAAGCAAGGTGTGCTGTGATTGGCCAGCAACGGTCCTCCATAAAATGTGCTGCATACATCTAAATATGCAACTTTATCTTCTTTATGCACCAAGAGCTTGTAACACTCCAAAGAGAAAGGAAAAATTGAAATCGCATCATATGACCTCTTTAAAGGTGGGTGATTTCAGAGAGCAAGCTAGCTTTAAAAGCATAAGATTCCACCCTCCCTGCAAATCACTCTCCGAAGCCATGCCTCCTCCAAAACACGAGATCGTGAGATGGCGTTGGTGGAGGGTTGAATGCAATGCTGTCAGATTACCTCATGTCTCATTCACTGGTGAGAAAACATTACAGTACAAAGCGTATAATATTACAATAACGCTTTTCATTCTTGCTCGGTATGCAATATGTCTATAATCATGTCTGCGCGAACAGGGCGCGTGGAGGTAGGCAAATACATATGTTGACAAGCAGCCTATTGTAGCCCTCTGACTGAGGGATATGATTGGACAAACATTTAATGATCTTACGTCTTCCACAGACAATATAAATACATTTAGTCCACTTAACTTGGTGATTTCTATCGGAATGTGAAGAGACTTTCAACCAGCATAACAAAAATGGTTTTGAACCAAATCACCTACCCTGCCTGGTTGGCTGTCTTGGTAGCCTTAAAGCCACATATTATTAGGGATGCACCAGCGCATCAGCCAATAATCTGTGTCGACTGATCAAAGCAATGATGTGCTTATATGGAAAAGGTTTTAAGCCAGGGTTGCCAGGTCCATGGTTTGTCCCTTCACCAAACATTATTTCTAGCGCACCTCCTGTCCAGTAATCGCAAAGAGCTTTGTTCTTGGTTACAAGAGACAAACAGTGCATCTGAAATCACGTACTGTCTGAATAGGTACTACATTTGAATTTGAACTTTGAGACAGTTAAAAAAAGTACATTGTAGTATGAATATGGGTAGTATGAAGGAAATTCAGACGTATTACATCTACCATGTTGTTACTATCATGTGCTATTTATAAATATTCATGCTATTCATAAACTCTCTCCCGTGGCCTCATGGGATAATAAAGAATCTTTGACTGTGCACTTCAGAATCCGGGCGGAAGCAGTAGATCATCCGGGTACTTTTCACCTACTGTTTTTCGCCTACTATGAATTCGGACATCCTACTCGTTTGACATACTGTTTTTCCGCATACTAAGAATTCGGACATACTACTATTTAAGCATACAGTTTTTCATATACTATGAATTCGGACATACTACTCTTTTGGCATACTTTTTTCCCACATATTATGAATTCGAACATACTACTCTTTTGACAAACTGTTTTTCCCATACTATGAATTCGGACATACTACTCTTTTGGCATACTGTTTTTTTTGTATACTATGAATTTGGACATACTCATTTGAAATACTGTTTTTCCGCATACTATGAATTCGGACATACTACTCTTCTGACATACTGTTTTTCCACATATTATGAATTTGAACATACTACTCTTTTGTCAAACCGCTTTTCCCATACTATGAATTCGGACATACTACTCTTTTGGCATACTGTTTTTTTGTATACTATGAATTTGGACATACTCATTTGGCATACTGTTTTTCCCCATACTCTGACATGCTATTCTTTTGGTATACTTTTTTTTTGCATACGATGAATTCAGACATACCATTCTTTGAGTATACTGTTTTCCGTATACTATAAATTCAGACATACAATTCTTTGTGCATACTGTTTTTCGCATACTATATAGTAGGCAAGTATTCAATTTTGGACGCAGTGAAAGTCTCAATGCTCTAATTTTGACAACTTTATCACAAAATTCAAGCAATAAATGCCCTTTTGACACTCATAAATGTAGCATGACAGATTGCTGTAGTGCCTTAGGAACGCGAATCCCTTCCACTTTACTACTAGTTACGGCACAAAATAAACATGAATAAACTTCAGAGGATATGTGGAAAGATAAAAGTAAAACTAACTGAAATGTATCCTCTCTCATGTAATCACTCGATCAGTGTTTCAACATCAGGAAGACGTCAATAAAACAGCTTGTAATCAATGTCACTTAACATTGCATTTACATCAGGAAAGTTATCCAGTGTTCACAGTTGGTTATTTAGCCTTAAAAAACACTAGAGCGAGCTTATTTACTGATAATTATATATGTATGTTTGAATAAATCTGACATAAGGAGAAGTTTCTATGAAAACTACCTTACGTGCAACTGAGTTGTATGCAAACATTTCTGTTTTTATTTGACTGCGATTATTATATCTGAACATAAATAGCAGTTGAATACAGTAGTTTGGTCTCTGTTGTTAATTTTAACCTCTATTATTATAGCAACATACCAAATGAGTGGCTTCCCTGTATAGTTTACAGCATTAGATGAGAGAGATTGTTTTCCTTATCGTTATGAGTTTTCTGAATAATCGGTATAGGCAGAGAAATTTAGTACTGGTTATCATAGCAAAGAACCTTAATTTGCTGAACATTTCATTTAAACAATATTTGATCACAATTCATATGAAAAGGTTGTGTTAATTACCCAGATGGGCATAGTTGTTAGCCATCTTAAAATGGCAATTTGATTACTCTGCCTGGCTGAGCACTAGTACACACTACAAGTGCTCCATCTCCACTCTCTTCACGCGGATCATCAAAAAAAATCAAAGCTAACAGGCTACAAACCATCTCTGCCTTAAAAGCCTTGCTAAAATTCAGTTCACAGTAACGACTGACTCACAACAGCAGCGGTGAACTTCCCCGCTTACCTTGTCAGTGACAGCACACATCAGAGAGTAGAGCTCGTCTGCTTTCTCCAAATACGTCCCCTCTCGCTCCTGAGAGTGTGAAAAGACAAAGCAAAACACTTTAAACATCAACATAATAGCATGTTAAGCTACAATAATAATCGATTGTGCAAATAAGGTGTTTGTGTGTAGCATTTCCCGTGACACATGTGTCCTGAAGTGGCTGTGCCAACCGTGAGAGGGTCAATTACAAACAAGGTCTAATCATGGCTGTCTCCTGCAGGCTGATCACTGCTGACAGTGAATAAGTGGCTGGGGGTTTGTGGAGGAGATGACGTTGTTCCAAGGGTCCAACGAGATTATTAAGGCTGACAATGAAAATCTCAGCAAGGTCAATCTCTTTTAAACAGCCATTCCCAGATCCTGCCATCTTACTCTGCTGATTTACGGACCATCAGTGCCCGTCTGTGGGAATTTACTGTTCCTGCCTTGATGGATACAGTAAAGCTGCTGATTTCACAGAAAGATGAGTAAAGCAGGTGCTGCTGCTCAGCATAGTAGTTTGAATGTGCTCACAAAAACACCCACAGACACTCACAAATGTGAAATATTGTACTTGTAATATTGTACATAATTGTACATAATTTCCTTAATGTGGAGGCTTTTCTTACACTACCATTCAGAAGTATGTGCTCAGTACGATTTTGCTTTTTTGTTTTTATTTGAAATAAATACCTTTTAACCAATCAATAATATTAATACTATAAAGAAAGGGCAAAATAAACTGATCAAAAGTGACAGTAAAGACATTTATAATGTAACAAAAAAATTGCTGTTTCAAATAAAAGCTGTTCTTTTGAACATTCTATCAATAATCTTGAAAAAATGAATCACGGTTCCCTTAAAAACAGTAAGCAGCACAGCACAGCACAAACATAAATTAAATGTAATATAAAGTACAAGTGAAATAAACCATTTTCATATTTATTGTGTTAAAATTATAAATTTTGTCCCAGAACTGTAACATAATTTCCCCCACAACAATTCTTTTGATCAAAATTAAGAACAAGTTTTATTAAAAGTAGGACACATAAAGTGCACATAAATCTGTAAAATTAGCCTACCATTTTATTTTTGAAAATGTTAATGTAATTTCCACTAGCACCTTTTCCACCACAGAATGATATCGCTAAACTCCAGCGTACATTTTTTCTCTATGTTTTCAGCTCATAAGCATTTTTATTGTAATACAGAGAGAGCGCATGTGCAAGGTTGCCAGGTTGGAAACATCAAGTAAACCACTGGACATAAGATTTAAACTCTTGAAATCTGGCAACCGCAACCAGGAAAGCTTGTGGAGGCTTGTTACCAATGCAAAATAACACAAATGCCAAATTAAAATGAAACGTTTTCAGGATAAATAAACAGCTGGCAAATATCGCAGACGATTAAGCTTAATAAAAAACTGCTTCAGAATTAGCTATGAAAGCAGAGCGGTCGACCTCTGCAGCTCCGGCAGCAACCGTTAGCCCACCACCATGAGCTGCCAAATTCAGGGCCAAATAAGAGCTTTCATATCTTTATACAAAGTTAAGGGCCGTAACCCACTGTCCTCAAGCTCCACTCCATTAGCACAGAGCGGAGCAGTCCTGAGCTCCTCCAGGATGGCAACAGGTCTGATGGAAACCCATCTTACCGCTGACCTCCATCTGAATAGAGTCAGCCACACTGCTAATAGATTTCCCCCTTGAGTCGCGATTATTTAGAGCGTCGAGCGGTTCAATTCAGGCCGGATTTCGCAGTGTACCCCTCCCAGCGGGGTCGTCGCTTCACCTTCCAAGCGAATAACAGAAACAATTCCATAAGAGAAATTAATTTTCTCAGTGCAGCTTTAATTTACACGCCGTGTGGAATGCCAATCATGCCGAATGTGTGATGTTGGGTGCAGCCTCTGGGTCGCAGTTATTTTTGCTTCCCGGTATAAGTATTAATGCACTTATCAAAACATTTGTTTTCGGATCCCTCTCACTGTGCAGAGGTGAAAGAAGCGTGTTTTCCAGATAGCATGTGCTCTCCCAGAGGCTGGAAGATTAGCCGCTCTGTAAATAAGCTAAGGGGGAGGGGGAGGAAGAGGAAAACAGCAGATATGCAGAAAGAAGGAAAGATAAAAAAAAAAGGTTGGACCCACTGAGCAGGTGGTGGGCAAATGTAAGACTTTATAAGCATTTCATTTTTAGGTCTGTAATTGATTTTGACATGGAGGGAATTACGGTCAGGCCGCTAACGGCTGTAAGCATTCATCACGTTTGAACTCTGCTGTTGGTGAGGAGGCAGATCCATATGTGCAACTTGCATTAAACACCTTTGACCTAATCGTATCACCCACATACAGCTGTGACACCTTATACAAGTGTCAACATCTGCATTAAAGGAAAAGAACAACCACCTGATTATGCATTTGAGGATGGCTGGATATTCATGATGGATTTGCACTGATTTTGTTGTCAATATTATTTATTTATTTATTTATAAGATGTATTTAGCAACATTTAGGTTATGATGAGTTATGACATATTGAGTAAAAATGACAAGAACAGTAAATCGTTCAATAACATGCATGTAGAAAATAAATTTCGTTTTATATAGATGTGCAACAGTTGGGTTCTGGAAGTAAAAGTGCCTTTCATTTTCTCGATAGAGAAATTGATTTTGAACAATAACTGAAAAACATTTAGAGACAGACAGACCAACTGTGAGCTCCGAGGCTGTTAATCAATGGTATATTCTTTTGTTGAGGCCATCATCAACTTCTGTTTTAAATAATCATATTTAACAGCTCAATCCCTTGTGAAAAACTACATTACCCATGATGCTAGGGGTGGGCGATATGACCAAAATTTTATATCACAATACGAGTAATTTTATTTCACGGTAACGATATGTGACCCTGGACGACAAAACCAGTCATAAGTGTCAATTTTTCGAAATTGAGATTTATACACCATCTGAAAGCTGAATAAATAAGCTTTCCATTGATGCATGGTTTGTTAGGATAGGACAATATTTGGGCTGAGATACAACTATTTGAAAATCTGGAATCTGAAGTCCTTAGCAATGCATATTACTAATCAAAAATTAAGTTTTGATATATTTACGGCAGGTAATTTACAAAATATCTTCATGGAACATGATCTTTACTTAATATCCTTATGGTTTTTGGCATAAAAGAAAAATTGACAATTTTGACTCATACAATGTATTTTTGGTTATTGCTACAAATATACCAGTGCTACTTATGACTGGTTTTGTGCTCAAAGAGTTATTTTTGCTTTAAATAAGGTCTTCATGATATCAAAATGTTGATACAATAGATATTTCATAATTCTTGTCACCAGTGTCAATACCACAAAAAAACATACTAGCTAAAAACAAAAACAAAAAAAACTTAAGCTCGCTGAAGGCAAGTAGACAGTCAGCGATTAAATAAGAATAAGAAACTAATTACAAGCAATAGGACATAAACTACAGTAGAACAAATAAATGAGAAATGCTACATACATTGTATAAAGTAATCAAAGTTATAAAAACACTACATATTCTTTTCTGTGTAAATTAAATATTTCTTATTAAAGTTACAAAAGTGTTTTAGTCAAGAGCACTGAGAGATTTTCTCTCTTTTATTTAACATGAATGACTTTAAGAGCTGGATCCAATATACTGTTTCACATGTTTTCTTTCTCAGTTGTTTGCTTTGACTTAAGACCTAAATTACTGTGTTTACAAGGATACTTGCAAAGACGGGTATTTTGACACATACAAGTGTGTGTATTTAACCGTTCAAGGCCTATAAAGCTGCAAAAATAACTCCGTTAAATACTCTGAGCACCGCCTTCACGTGCACACGCCTCTCTGACAGCACTCAGAAACAAGCAAAATGAGTTCTCTTTTGCTGCCGATTGCATTTCAATGGCTTAAAATCAGTTGTTTTTAAACCAAAATGCTTAAAAATTTATGTAAACGATACGTTTTCGTGACCACATAGCACAGCAATGGCATGTGAGCGTGTAACTGCAATAGAGATGATTGTCAAAAATCTCAACCGGCTGTCAAATTTCTACCGGTTAATCGTGTCTACCGGTATATCACCCACCCCTACATGATGCTGTACAGAAAATATCCCACCAATCAGAGAGTCACAGCAGGAAAAAGAGCAGCAAACGAATGCTGCGCTCTGTCCACTCCCATAAAGCATTGCAAATGACGTACCTGAGTCAGTCTTCCCACGCTCTCAAAACACTTAATATTTGAATCTATGGATGCTTTCACACCTGTAGATCGATTGCTTTGTTCCGAAACAGGGATTAAAATTATTACAATGTTGCTTTTTATTCTTGATGCGGTTCGCTTTCACACGCCAATGTTTCTAAACGGACCAAATTTGTTAATACAAGTCAAGCGCGAGTAAACTGTTCTCTCATTGGTCAAAGTTTCACGGTTTATTTTCCGGGATTCCACTTAGCTGTCACGCATGTCATCTGTCAGGATGGAACGACAACATCTTCATCGGAGTCCAAGCAGGAGTCCAAGATTCATTGGGAAAACATTTTTAAAATGCACATACTAGGAAGAATAGCAATAAGACGGCATTATAAAATGAAAAAGTACGCTTTGATTTTGAATGGTGAAGACGTGCTCACCCACAGACATTCACAGGTTCATGTTGAAGTATTACGATTGTTTTGGCGCAGATACGGCCGCGATTGCCGTGTTCACATATGCCCCAACGGGCTAAGGGGGGAAACGCGCCAGGTTCCGAAACAACGGGCCAGGTGTCTTTTTAGCAGCATCATATGACCCCTTTAAATATATAATAGAAGATATGTTATACACTACCATTGAAAAGTTTGGAAATAAAGAAACTGATGCATTCAGTTTCTGATTTAAATTTTTGTAGCAAAAACATGTTTATGCTAATTTCTGTAAATCATTTCAAACTGCTTCAATAAAACAATTACGTTTCAAGAATTACAATTACGCATATAGCTGTAAATGATCAAATATAATGTTAAAATCTTCCTGTGCTTATTAAGTGAGTAAAAGTGCACGAAACATCCTTATTTAAATGTGCATTTAAAGAACAAAACCAGAGAAAGAATAATCCTTTGAAACTATTAAATAAGACAATATCAATATACATATAAAAAAACATCAAATGACTGAAAACATAGATAAATAATATATTATATACTATCAAATATTCTGGCTATATTGTTCAGTCCTAGTACACAGCAAGTCCTTCATTATGTCAGATTTATAGAAGCATAGCTTTTTTAAATAAGAATGTTTTTTGCTTCCGCATCTTTTAAGACATTTATATGTAAATGACCTCTGGCTTTGGCTAAACCTTTGCATGTGACCTTTTGCCTTTCTCAGGGAAGGCCAAGTAGCTGCATACCAACTATGAATTGATAAGTAAATGTAACACTGTTGCTCTAAATGAGCAATTGTGACATCTCATAAAAATTCTCAGTGGACCTTATACTATTTTCCATGATATGTGCCCTTTAAATCGTAAGCGATGTTTCAGATGTTACCTGTGTGCTGGCTCCCAGTCTCAGACACATGCCTCCGGAGCCCGTGCCGTCACCCTGCTCAGAGGGGTTCAGGTGGCGACTGAACCGTGGCAGTGGGACGGCTGGATGACTGTCAGCAAGGAACATGTTGGCAGGTGCTGGTATGATAACAGCATTGGTCACGTGACCTGTTGAAGAGACGAGATGGATTAAAATAACAGTTCTCTATGAAAACTGTAGCAGTTTAGTAAAGCTTTGTGAATATTGAAATCTTGGAAGGAAAACAGTCCATTTTAACACAAACCGTTTCCTCAGTCAAAATAATTAATATTCTTAATATTATTTATATAATATAATAACTTCAATGTTTCAAATAAAATTTTAAAAATCATATCGGTGAAATAGTGCTCCATCGTTATTTGGTGTAACAGATATATTTATGTAAAAGTGAACAACATACTCCGACCTGTAATTATTAAAGTATATAAAAGAAATCATACTACATTTTTTATAATATTTTAAATTATTTAAGACAAATGGGACAAACCTAGTGGTTTGAAGGATAGTTGCAAGGATTGGTAAAGATTTAAAATGACAATTACTTAACATTTTGGGGCTGCACTGTGATCCTTAAATAGAGTCTTTTAATGTCATCTAATAATAATTATAAATATTCTTGACAATATTTTTTGTTATTTCAACTATTCCTACACTGAATGACATTAGTGAGTGTTTTCTGTAAATCATGGTAAAAATGTATGAGTCTATGTTTTTTGCTACAAATAAATAAATTAAATTAAACAGGACACATAGTAAATAGCAATAATAACAATATATTAAGAAATGAAGGATCATGTTACACCGAAGACTGAAGTAATGACTACTTTCTATTGTAATATATTTTAAAATGTAATTTATTTCTGTGATGGCAAAGCTGAATTTTCAACTGTAATAAAATTTCACAATATTACTGTTTTTACTGTATTTTTTATCAAACAAATGGAGTCTTGGTGAGCAAAAGAGACTTCCAAAAACATATATACTGTCTTTATGTATATATATTTCCTGCGTCATGTGTAGGGTTGGGTATCATTTGGGTTTTTTACGATACCGGTGCCAAATCGATACTTTTAAAACGGTACCTGAACCGATACTTAAAAACAATAAATAAATAAATACCCAAAATAGGATGGATTGGCCATTATTGAGTGCTATAAACACATTTAATGTCTGTTTCATTCATACTGGACACCAGAGGGCGCCCTCGCGTAGAAACTCCACATGTGCATCACAGAAGTAATAGGACTCAGGAAATCCCTATACTCTTTGCTAATATGGACAAAGGCATTGCTATCGCTGTAACGGAGTAAACAGAAGATATAAACGTTCTGAATGATAAAACTTGCAATGAGAAGCATTTCTAAACCCGCTGTCCAACAAAAGAGAACACTATAAAGTTTTTACTCCACAACTGCTTCCTTTTGTGATCTGATGTGGCTTCTTGTCACAGAATGAGGCAGAAAATATGTTCTATACTGTAAAAAGCATATGGTAAAAAGACTGTCGATTAGCAATGGATTATAAATATACTTAATTATGATGAAAATACCAAAGATGGCTTGAATAACATCACAGCAGCATCTGTGTGTCTGAAGCCCGTCTTTCACACTGACCGAAACACACTGGCAGGAGAAAGTTTGTTTACCTTCATTGAGCTGACGCAGTGTCTACACACTCTCAGGAGTATAACAGCGTTCCTGCAGTTCACCTGAGATTAATTAACAGCAACCAGGTCCAACTAAGCTTCTGGCATCTGCTGTCTATTCTCCTCTATAAAAGAGTTAAACACAAATCATCTGCACCAGTGAACTACATTAGCTCAGGTACTAAACATCACCCCCTAAAGCAGACTGATGGATCAAAACAAAAGCTTGTAAAGACCAGATAATCATGTTCTTCAGCATGATCTGAGAATGATCTAAAAAGCATTTTGTGCTTCACTGAAAGCAGGAACATCTGAGCTTTGGTACAAAGGAATTTTGATAAATTGAAATAGAAATAGAAAATATATTACACACTACTGTTCAAATGTTTAAAAGTTTTGAAAAAAAAAAAACATAACATTTATTCAGCCAGAATCATAGCCCTTGGATCGATGGATGTGATTGGATGAACATTTTATGGTTCTAGGCCTTCCAAAGACGATATAAATAAATATAAACACATTTAGACCAGTCAACTTAGTGATTATGAAGAGATCAGAATGTGAAGAGACTTTCAACCAGCATAACAAAAAATGTTTTTGAACCAAATCACCTATCCTGCCTTTAAACTGACCAAAATGACAGGAAAAAACATGTTTAACGTTACGCAATATTTCTATTTCAAATAAATGCTGTTCTTCTGATCTTTTAATTTATAAAAGAATACTGATTTCCACTAAATTTTTAAGTAGCACAAACTTTTCAAAATTGATTAATAAGAAAAAAATGTTTCTTGAGCACTAAATCAGCATATTAGAATGATTTCTGAAGATTATGTGACACTGAAGACTGGAGGAATGATGCTGAAAATTCAGCTTTGCATCACAGGAATAAATTACATTTTAAAATATTTTACAATAGAGAAAAGTTATTTTAAATTGTACTAATATTTCACGTTTTTAACTAGTTTTTGTCAGCTAAATACAGCATAAGAGACTATATATATATGTATATATATATATATAATATTTTAAATTATTAGCATTAAATTCAGTAAAAATTTGAATTGAAAAATGTACAAATAAAATATGAAAAATCCAAAATAGAAGCATTTTTTCAAAGATCTTTGAACCCCACTATATAGCAACATAATATTGAACCCACAGGTGCACATAAAAAATTCACCAAAATATTTAATAAACAAGTCAAATACATTATATAAAATGTATACAAATATATACAAACAAATATATTTTATAGCAAAATCCTGAAATTATTTCCATGAATTGCAGGTCTGCATTAGATTCTGACACAGATTTTCAATATGTTTGCAGACTTTTGGACCTAATTTAAAGAAAATAAAATGTATGCAAATATGCCGTATTTAAATGCTGCATACAGTACATTGGTCAAATTTTTTTTTTAAACAATGAAACTGAAAAAACTGAACCACGTCAACATAAGATCAGACATGCACCAGCAAGAGCTCAAAGTTTCCATAAAAGCTCAGAAAATGCCAATGATTTTCCATCAGAAATTGATGAAACCCCAGCAAACAAAATTAAGGTAAGTATCCACACTTCAAAGATGCTGTGTGTGGTAACTGTTTTCAACAGCACAATTTTGTCCTGTCATCCTGATATCCTCTAAAGATTAATCATTGCATAATTTCACAGAAAGAGACAGAGTGAGGAGATCTATCACACAGAAGAGTCTGTTGGCAGATTAGATTAGACTCATAAACTGTGTTGGCGTTTGATAGAAAAATTAAAAAATGAGCTCCATCACTCACACGGACATTCCAGACGCTGATGACATCAAAAGTTAAAACTGGCCACACGGGAAGCATCCCGCCAGGCTGCAATTGTTTGTTAAGGGGTTTTCAGTTCCCCTGGCACAAGTCGCAGGACATCATTAGATTAAAATAAGATAATAAAATAATCATAATTAAAAAAATAAAATGCATGAGTGTGTGCCCATGTGGTCTAATTAAAAGCACAATAGCTGGGCTGCTGTACGCACGAAAACCGATATGGAAATCAACATCAGGCGGTGTTCATTCGCCTTCATTTTTGTTTTGAAGCCATTAAAGAAAGCGACTTGACTCCTTCATTTCCTCTGAAGCCTCATACCCAAAACTTGAAAAGTATTCAAAAAAATGTGCTCCAAAAAAAAGTATTTTAGTGTGTTTTTATTATTTAATTAAACAAAAATATTTTTTATTAATGATAATAATACTGCACGAAAAGCTCCATAAAGTATCATATCAGTATGATACTTTATCCATAAAGTATCATACTATAAGTGACTCATACGTTATAATAAAGTAAATATTATAAAGATGCAGCACAACGAGCAGCACCGCAGCAGGGCTCTGAACACGTGAACTGATTCAGCCCCATTTATGAAGCATTTTGTGAATTATACACACCACTGAAGACATGATGGCAACGACTGCTGATGGCCTTGTAATAATGCATTGCATTATGTTACTAGCCATTCAGCCGTGCAGTCTGTTCATTCTCATCTGCTCAAATACATGCTTTTAAGAAAAACACCTGGAAGCAGGTTGGCTGAACAAAGCGTGACAAGGCTTCATGGAAGTAATGCCATAAGCGTCTGTCTCAGGGAAAGAACCAGACTGGAAGCGACATTTCTAAGATTTATCGAAGGTTGTCATTCAGCAAAATGAGAGAGAAATATACCACTTCTACAAAAGTGGGAACATTTTTATAACACTTTAAACTCCATAAAATGCCAGCCGGTGAAGAGTAGGCAACCTCCACAAAACTGCTTACAGTCGCTAGATTTGAAGAATTAAGATAAATGTGCCAATTTCTGTTTGTTTCGTTTTTGTTTAGTTTTGTTTTCATTGACAAGGGAGTTCAATAATGCGTCCACATCAGGAGGAATCGAAGTAGAAAACGAAGAATTTTTTTGTTTGTTTGTGTGTGTGTGTGTGTGTGTGTGTGTGTGTGTGTGTTTGACAATAGCTGGGCTGCTGTACGCACGAAAACCGATATGGAAATCAACATCAGGCGGTGTTCATTCGCCTTCATTTTTGTTTTGAAGCCATTAAAGAAAGCGACTTGACTCCTTCATTTCCTCTGAAGCCTTTCGACTCAGAATTGTTGATTTATTGAGGCCAGTCAAATGAACACAAAGCCACTTTTGCAATCGGAGCTTCCGAGGCGGCCCCACGAAAAGAAAAGATGGTGATAAATAGGTTTTTTGCAGAGCAGTGGCTCAGTGAACTGTGCCTACATTAATCCCTGTTTCTGAACGATGCCAAAACAATTATGATAAAACAGGTAAGCAGTGATGCAGCGGCAGACGCCCGGAGGACGAGCGGCAGTGCGGACTTGGCGCGTCGCTCCTTTCCAAACGCAATTACATTATATGGGTCTTTTCATCAATTCAACCTGGATCAGAACTGTTAAGAAAGGATCCAGAGCCCACGTTTTACACAAGCCCGCTTTCAGGCC